GTGCTGTCAATTGTAGCTGTGCTAGTTTCTCTCCTCCCTGTTTTACTCTGTGTATGTTTATTTGGTAAGACATGTTTAAAATGCTCAAGTTATTTTTTTTTAAACAGGACACACCTAGCCTGCAACTGGAGCCGTCCCCTCTATTAAGCAGTGAATCTGAACCTGTTAAAGCCAGTTTAACAATGATTATAAAGATGATTGGCTTGTATACAGAGCCTTTACCCGAGCTTCCTGGTGATTTTCAGTTGAAATATCCACCTTTAGATTCAGCTCCTCCACAGAGCCACAGAGGTAACAGCAGAAGCAGATGTTAAACGTATTATGTCAAACCTTTACTTTCATTTTCTACAAAATGCCGACCTTCCCATCGATTGCTTTCTGTGGGAAATCCCCATATTTGTGAATATTTACAGAACCATGTTTGTGTAGTCTTAAACTCTGCTGTGATTTCCTCAGACCTCATAAATGTGTCATTTCCAGTCGTGCTTTTGCAGGACTCAAAGTTAGAGCTGAAGAATAAAACACATTTCTAGTATTTACAGATGAATTGGCTGCTAGTTTGAACTTTATTATGTGTCTGGTGTTTCTTCTTCAGTCTGCAAATAAATCAAACGGTTAGGTGGAAATGAGGACAAATAGTATTTTTGTCTCAGTAATTAAAAGTTTGTCTTTCTGCCTCTCCTGCTAGGATTATCTTCCCACTCAACAGGACATCCTGCTGGCTCGTAAACCCACTAAGGGCATCCATGAGTATGACTTTGAGATCAAGAATGTTCCCTTCAAGATGGTGGACGTGGGAGGGCAGCGATCCGAGCGGAGACGCTGGTTTGAGTGTTTCGACTCAGTCACCTCGATCCTCTTCCTCGTCTCCTCCTCCGAATATGACCAGGTAAAAAAATTAAAGTAAACACCGCTGCTGCATCAGATGCAGAAAGAAACCATGGCATCTCATTTCCTGCCACTCACGGGCAAGCACGCTCATTACAGATAGGATGATAAGAAGCACATTAACCAGTTTGTTCTTGACAATAATGTGTGGTAACTTTTGATAACGTTTCATTGATGCTTCTGCATGTGCAGCTGCAAGACTTTCCTTAAGACGAATTAATCATTTGAGTTTCTAACTAAAGCTCTGATTTGACCACCACTTAGATGTGCAAGTGACAACTTTGGTTCATTTATTTGCTAGTCATGCTGTATTTATTTACCATGTTTCCCCTTCCGTCTTCAGTATTCTAGCGATAGGCTGATGTGAATCCCCAAAATGTGACTGATATGTTTAAATGGGCACCAACAGCATGAATCGGTCTGTTCTTCATCACATTTACAAGGCTCAGTTCGGGGGGTTGTGGTTTGGTACTTTTTCAGAGCGGTGGGAAAACAGTGAGAAGACTTGCAAGACAACATTTTACAAGTACACATTAAATTGTGATGGATTGAAGTATTTGCACAAACGAGAGGCTGAAATGTCCAGCAGAAACTTGATTCGAAACTCAGAGCAGATGTAAGGATATTGCTTTGCTGCTAACTTTACACAAACTGAAATTATCTCAAGCATTAATGGAGCCAACTAACTTCTGATTGGTTGTCTCTCATATACAAAAGGCTTGAATGTCAGGCAGGTATGGCTTCTTTGACAGAACCATTTAGAAGATTTTTCACATAAAAAGACCACATAAATTAGGAAAACACCTGTCTGAAACTGAGTGTTTACAGCAGTCTGAAGCCGGATTCCTTGACAATATTTAATAATTAATATGAGTGAGTTTAATGAGTGTCCACCATTATAACAGTATATAAATGGCTGAAAATAAGGAAAAGAATGGGTCCCATTTAAGGATTCCAATGGCGTTGCTTTCTTAATGGTTGAATGTGGAATCAAGCTGCTTGAAAGCAGAATTATTTGCCTCTGATCGAACCATCTCAAGTGTTTTGCCATCATAAATATGTTTTCTGGGACTTAACCAACTTCATTTTAGCTATGCTGGCCCCTAGTTTTTAATTCAAATCCCTCACTGTTTTCCTCATTTTGTTGTAACTGACTCAAAAAACAAGCTCTTGTTTGATTTGCCAAGTGCAACATACCAACTGTTGTTGTAAGAGCCATGTAATAGCAGGCTACACCAAATAGCCTAGTTTTGGGGGGTTTTCTCGTGTTTTTTTATTTTTTTTTTTAAAACCTAACGCAATCCAAATTGACTTTGGTTAATAGGTAATGCTATTAAAAGGAAGCTTATGAATACCTGACAGGATGTAACATGTACAGGTTAAAGGATTTACACCATCCGTACTGGCAGTAGTATTTAATTCTTCCGTCATCTGTTACAGGTGCTGATGGAGGACAGGCAGACCAACCGGCTCCGTGAATCGCTCGACATCTTCGAGACCATCGTCAACAACCGTGTCTTCAACAACGTTTCGATCATCCTATTCCTCAACAAGACGGATCTGCTGGAGGAGAAAGTGAAAAACGTTCCCCTCAAGGACTACTTTCCCGAGTACAACGGACCGGAGCACAGCCTGCCGGACGTCCAGGCGTTCATGGTGGACTGCTTCCGGGCCAAGAGGCGCGACTGTACTCAGAAGCCCCTGTACCACCACTTCACCACCGCCATCAACACGGAGAACATCAGGCTGGTGTTTCGGGACGTCAAGGACACCATCCTGCACGACAACCTCAAACAGCTCATGCTCCAATGACCTCTGACAACCTGTGGAAATGGAGGACCTGAACAGGGACAGACCACCCCCTCGCTCATGAAGAGGACTTGGGAGAGAGAGCAGCATCAGAAGAATCCGATGAGACGTCAGCATTCTTCTTCAGACATTTTATATTAGTTTATACTCTCCTCTTTGAAGAGTTGGCCCTGTTGTAAGTTCAGGATTTGTTTGAGGAACGAGTAAGCCGTGCACGCCGTGGTAATATAAATGGAGAAGAAGCCTCGTTTGGATCTTGGATGACATCTGAAACCTGCTGCTTCACCTCCTCTGTCCTGAGCTCTGCATTCACAGCACGAGTTACTGGGGCTTTTTTCTCTCAAGGTGTCATTGCTGGCGCCAGCAAAAGGTTTTCCAAAATGAGACGCACGGCTTCCAAACAAACGCAGGAATTAATCTAAGTAACGTTTTTATTACCAATACTGTGTGTGAGAGTTGATTTGCCGAGCACTGAAGTCATCTAGTCCAAATTTACTGTTACGTCTGTTGAAAGTTGTTGCTAAGTCATTTTAGTCACATTTGGCAGTCATCAGCTTTTCTTTTTTTTTTCCATTTCAGATCAGCAGGTTTAACGCCCGCGATCAGAAGTGAAGACGTAGTAGAATTACAGTTAAAGATTTGAGGAGTGAACTGGCTCCAGCACTGGCACCTTGTTTTGCAGAAAACTGCTTGACGAGGGCACAACCACAACAGACTGAACCTTTTATTTCCTTTGATATAATTTCTTAAGACTTAATCACTATTTAAATGTTGCTTTATTATTAAATCTTTAATCAGATAATTAAGATGCCAGTTTCCGTATAAATTGTCCCTTATTTCTGGGTGTTCAGAGGGTAAAAAGATTACCTTCTTAGGCAGGTGTGCCACTTAGTGAACATGCAGTCCACTGTTTTCTCAGGGTTGAATCAAAACCGGTGTCGATGCTGATGTAATTGTTGATGAGCTAACTGAATATTCTGATTCTGATTATTATTATTTTTTATTTTTATTTTTTAATTCTGAGTGGTGCGACTCAGCCAGGCCTCCCTGCCGTTAGCCGGGTGGTGTTTAGCACCGTATCCTCCTGGCTTTGACCACTGACATTGACCCAGAACCCCCAGCTCCTCCCTTTCTTTGTTTCCATCTGTGATTAGATGCCTTGTTAAAGGGACAGTCCTCCCCTGTTTGCCTGAATCATGAATGTGTGTTAATAAATGTACAGAGATTTGCTCTAGATTGCTTGAATATACTATAACCAATATTAATGTGGTAAGATATAACCCATCATGTGAGAATATCTGTGTTGGCACTGACTCCAGGCATCTCTGAAAACCCCTTGAACATTTTTTTCCCTTGTGTTGTTTAGATTTCCCTCAAAACTACATTTTGAATTATATGTGACCAAAAAAAAAAAAAAAACGACAAACAAAAAGACAAAAGCTTGAATACTTTTGTTGGTGACCGTATTCTGGTCTGGGCCAATCTTTGTTAGAGCACCATTTCCAGGCACTGTTAAAATCTCTGCTTCTCTGCCAAAAAATCACCCTGTGCTTTTTCAGGACTGTGAAAAATGCAGCTTGTGAGAGTTTCACTTTGCTTCCAGCCCTGGCTTTGTAAATACTGTAATCTGTTGCCATGTAAATAATATCCAGGTTTATCTCCTATATGTAAATGGTTGTAGAAATGGCTGACTTTTTCCCATCCCGATTTTTTTGCTTTTTCAAATCACAGCTTTTCCAATGAAGTTGACTTTTTGATGTAGTGTATTTGTTTTCCATCACAGCTTGTTTTTGAAATTCTTGCTTGTGTTGTGTCTCATGCCAGTCTAACCTTCTCAATAAAATCCACTTTTCTACTTATGTCTTGCTCTCTTGATATGTTTGCTTTTTTGAATAATTTGGTTCATTGTGAATCGTGAGGTGCCATTTTATGCCTGAAAAACTTGATTTTATTGTCTTTGGAAATTCACAGTGAATTTCTTTGAGGTGCAAATTTAAACCTGGGTTCCTTACCACTTAGACCAAAATCTAATGATTAACAAAACACGAGGAGCACGTGTTACGTAGATAAACCTTATTGTACCGCTAAGACGTCTTTTTTTTTCAGTACTCTGCCAGAAAATTACGTAAGCATTTCTGCGGATACATCGTTTCCGACGCCTCAAGCGTACCAGTGAAACGTTTAGTGGGTATTTTGACTTCATCCAAAAATGCGTCGGCATGTTTGGGGACATCAAAAGGCGGAAGTGGGGAGGAGTGAATCATAAAGTCGACGCAACACACCCACCGAGCAGATCCCTGCGTGTTCGTACAAGACTTTTATCTGTCACAGCAATGTAACGGGCTGTACCGTTATAAACCACATCCAAGGGGTGTAATTTTAAACTAGGGCGTCAATATATTGATGATTTTACGATAACTTTTGATTTTACATTCAGGCTTCGAACTCGCTACCTAAAAGCGGGGTCTTTCACTTCACCGTCGCGACTCAAAGGACTTACTTAACCTAAACTGTTTAAAAGTGACACTCCCGGGTGTAAATGTGATAATTACTGACGCTTCACCTTAGAGCTGTAACTTTGCTGCTCCGAGTCATGCTTTCACCCGATTGGCTGTTTGACAGGCGCGTGCGAAATGAGCTGTGGTAAGTGTCACACAACTGTAATTCAGAATGGCGGAAAAAACACGTGCTATAATAACGACCAATATATTAATTTGCTGAATTATAAAAATACGTTTATAGCTTCGTCTAGAAGCCGGGGTGACAAACATAAGACCCGGGGGCCAGAACTGACCCACCAAAAAATCCAATCCGGCCCACTGGACCTCTATGTAAAATGTGAAGGAGGTCATAAATTTTGGACTTTCAACTATATTTTCACAAATTACGCAGCTGATGCTATAAGCCATTTGTGCTACAAGAAAGTAATAAAGTAACAAACAAAAGACAGAAAATGTCCAGTTTCTTCACTAACTACTAGAAATTTCTGTTTTTATTTCAAATGTGTCTTCAGTAAAATAAAGGACATTTTCTGTAAATTAACAAAAACTTTCTCTTTATAATTACTGGTAGCTGGTCAGTGAGCTACCAGAACTTTTCCTGTAATTTTACACATTCATATCTTGAAATTTAGGTGTGAAGAATCATGCTGACAAATCTCTTTTGTTAACATGTCCTTATCATGTATATAAACTAATGCATACTGTTGAAATTACACTTCTTTTTAATAAATTGAGATATCCCAGGAATTAAATGTGCAGTTAAACTACTTTACAATGACAGAAAAGGGATTTTCACAGTTCCAGCTAATTTCAAAGTGGCCAGTATGTGTCCCTTGATGTAAATTTGATCTAGAGCAGGTGTAGGCAACGCCAGGCCTCGAGTGCCGGTGTCCTGCAGGTTTTAGATCTCACCCTGTGTCAACACACCTGAATCAAATGATTAGTTTATTACCAGCCCCCTGGAGAACTTCAAGACATGTTGAGGAGGTAATTTAGCCATTTAAATTAGCTGTGTTTGATCAAGGACACATTTAAAACCTGCAAGACACCGGCACTCGAGGCCTGGAGTTGCCTACCCCTGATCTAGAGACTAGGTATCAAATATACGGCCTGTTGGCCAGACGTGGGTCCAAAAAGCTCCAATTCAGCCCACTGGATGGCTTTGGAAAATATGGACACTTCAAATGAAGATTATAAAGTCCTTTATTTCTTGCAGCTCTTACAATTTTTTACATCAGCATTTCTTTATAATATGGAAAAGTTGAGACGTTTTGTTAAATAAAATTGCGCTTATTTTTCTGAGTGATTTTTCTTATCTCAGGGAAAACAAGGGTAACTTTCATAGTGCTGAAAGTTGAACAAAAACAGTTAAGGCTTCACTGATCTAGCCTATTTAACTTGAAATTTGGTTGTATGTGCCCCATGATAAGCTCGACACCCCTGGTCTAGAGAATTATTATTATTCTATTATTCAGGTGACAAGGTCAGCCTTGCAAACTACCTTACATTTCCCATTAATCGGGTAGTCTTCAATGCAAAGCTGTATTTTATTGACACTCATTATGGGTCTGAATGTCATGGTAGTTTTGGGCTTTTAATTTCACTATTCCATTGACTTTGTGCAATATACTAGTACCACTGACAGCAAAACAGCCTTGATGCTACCACTGCCATGCTTGACAGTTGGTACAGCTTTCTAAGGTCAGAAAGTTTCATCTTTACTTCTTCAAACATTGTGGGTCAGTCTTTCTCTCATCTGACCATAAAACCTTTCTCACATTTGGTTTGTCCTTGTGGGCAGCTGCAAATTTCAGTCAAGCTTGACGGTTTTTATTTTGGAGCAGGGGCTTCTTTCTTGGTTGGCACGCTCTCAGTCCATAGCTATGTAAAACTTGCTTCATTGTAGACAGTGACACTGGTGCTGCAGTTTCAAGTTAAATGAAGGCTTGAGCCTTGTTGGTTCCCAGGTTGTTCCTGAGCATCCCAATTAATTACCTCTTATCTGAGGAGGACAGTTTGGGTCCTCTTCCAGACCTTGGCAAAGTGGTGGCACATCCAACTTGTACCTATGTACAATTGTCTTAACTGATGATTTTGGGATCTGCAGCTGTTTAGAAATTGCTTCAAGAGATCTTCACAACTTGTTTAAATCTAAAATTGCCTTTCTGAGATCTTCACCAAGTTCTTTGGACTTTTTCATTCAATGAGTGCTGTCAAAAAAATCCATTTTATGCTGGCAGACAAGTTACCAGTTGTACTGTATGTATACTTTTAACCCTGTGTGGATTAGAGAAAATGCAAAGTAAAGCCAGACCTGTGCACTTATGTATTGTTTTTTAAAGTCATTAAAGATGTATGTTGTATAACCATGCTACTTTGGAAAAAGTTAAATTCAAAGAAATCATTAAAAGTCAAAAGTTACCACGACATCAATGCCCATGATGTGTAGATGTAAACTTCAGACCACAACTGTACGTGTGACATATTTTGAAAGGTATTCTGTTTTGTGCAGCTGATTTTCTGGTCTACTTATCAAAATTGACTTTATTTAATTATTTTAAAAAAAACCAACAACCTCAAAAGCAATTGGTGCAGTGGTTAACACTGTTGCCACACAGAAATAAGGTTCTTGGTTTGCACGTCCTGGTTGGGTTGGGGGTTGGGTGATCCAGTTTCCTCCTACGATTGTACATGCATGTTAGGTTAATTTGTGATTCTAAATTGTGTATGAGATCATAATCAGTATGTTTATGCACACATAGCTGGTGCTTGATATGATTTTCTTTCTTTAAAGATGAAATTGTTCATATAAAGCTAAAACGATACCTTATTTATATTCAGCCATTATGTCCTTCCAACACATCTTCACTGGTCGTTCTATGTTTGCCCTGGAAGTCCCATTTTGACCCGTTCTCTGTCACCCACCCACAGAGGTGTGTCCTTTCTGCGGGAAAACGTACAAAAGGTTGAAGAGCCACTTGCCACATTGCAAGGCAGCTGCTGCCTCTAAAGCACCACCATCCAAACCAGATGTCACAGCAAACCAGACAGCATCGTCTTCTCAGCTGGACTCGGTTTTGTCCAGAGCAACAGCAAAGGGAAGGAAGTCATCGTCAGTCATAACAGATCTACAAGGACAGACGCGTAAAAGGGACACAGCATCAGGACCATCAAATGCAACATCTTCATCACCACGAACATCATCATCCATGACATTACTTTCACCAACTACAAAGACGAAACAAAAGCTGGTTGATCAAATAAAGACAAGCACCCTTTTGTTATCTCCATCTCCAGCTCTGCCCCCCACCACTTCTAAACCAAAAAAGAAGAGTCTCCGTGCATTGATAGAAGCTGCTAAGTATGACCAAATTACAAAGGAATCACTAAAGGTGTCTGAAACAGAACCAACTCTAAGCTCCAGAAACACAGCTCAGACAGAGCCCAAAACTATCTCAGGCAAAGACTATGCCCATCTGTCTGCAGACGCTAAACCCAAAGATGCAGCTAAGAAGACGCCAAAGACAA